CTGGGCTGACTAACCGGCCCCCAGCTTGGCATGTGCAGTGTGCAATACCATCTTTCGTGTTTGTGGCTGATGAGTTCTCTATCCCATGATGCGTTAAGAACTCCTGAAGTCTGGCCGGTTTCTTGATAGGAGCAGGGACCTGTGACTTACTTTGCACCACTGGCAGCCGGCAGCCCCGGTGGAAGTGTTGCCCGGCAATAGGGAGTGAGTGCTGAGCCCCATCATGGCGGCTGCTCGGGTAAGACCCTCTGGGTTGTGTGGAATTATCTTTAATGCGCCAGATAAGAAGATTGTTAACCTCCTTATTACCAACACTTTTCTATTACCGTCATGGGGCAGACAGATGATTGGAGGATTAGCCTGACTCTGACAGATCCTGCGGGCTCTGCCAGTCTTGTTTGGAAGGGAATCAAATCTGCTCATTGCTGATAATAGGCAGCATGATAAGGCCCCAGGTCGGCTTGTAAGAAATATGTATCTTGCTTTTTATTTCTTCTTTTAGCAATAGGAGTCAAATTTGGATTCATCCCGATAAATGAGGTATTTGGGACCTCATGTGATCTAATTGCTCCAAGCTGCCCTTTAATCCCTATTTGTGACTCTCTGTGCCTCTGTCCACGTGGTAAATGATCCTGACCTGGGAGTGAAGCCCACCCAGCTGAGACAGCCTTGGCCCCGCTTGTGAGTCTGAGGTTCTCTGGGACCCTCCGTTTTGTTTCCCCTTGTCTAAGGAACAAAGCATTTCTTGGACTTGTCACTGTGGTCAAGCGAAGGCCACACCATCTCTTTGTCCATTACTGTATTTCCATCAATGGTGGCTGACACACAATGTTCTCTAAAAAAATGTTTGTTTTCCTTGCGAAAGGCCAAATCTGTTTTTTAAATATTTTTTTAATTTTTTTTTTCTGAGACAGGATTTTTCTGTGTAACAGCTCTGGCTGTCCTGGAACTCACTCTGTAGACCAGGCTGGCCTCGAGCTCACAGAGCTCTGCCTGCCTCTACCTCCTAAGTGCTGGGATTAAAGATGTGTGCCACCACTACCAAACTAATTTATTTATGAGTATGGGTGTTTTGTCTGCATGTATGTATGCACGCTAAATGCATGTATTACCCACAGAGGCCAAAACTGGGCATCAGATCCTTTAGAACTGGAGTTACAAGTGGTTGTTAGTGGCTACGTGGATGCTGGGACATGAATCCAGGTCCTCTGCTAGAGCAGCTAGTGCTCTTGGCCACTGAGCCAATCTCTCCAGGTCCTATTTTCCCCTTTAGAAAATCCTGCTTAGTATTGCATAGGCAATGATAGATGTTTATTATAGACAAACCGAAATGCTGATGTTGGAATTAGGGGTGTGGGGAGAAACACCCCTAAAAGGTAGCCTGTCACTATTTGGGTGAGTTCTTCCTCTAGCGATGCCTTATCTCCAGCGTATATATCACTCTAAATGGATACTGATTGCTAGGTAGATAGACAGATGATAGAAGAACACACACACACACACACACAGAGAGAGAGAGAGAGAGAGAGAGAGAGAGAGAGAGAGAGAGAGAGAGAGAGAGAGAGAGATCCTAATCACTGCACTCATATATCCTGGCTTGTTTTATTTAGTTAGTTTTTGTACTCAGGGCCTTGACCATGCTAGTCAAGTGCTCTGCCACCAGGTTACATCTTCAGTCCTATTTCATTCCGGTTTTTGGTAAATTACCCAGACAAGCCTTGAACTTGCTACGTAGCTGAGACTGACCTTGGCTTTTCAATCATCTTCCTGCAGTCTCCATGTCCAGTCCCAGGAGGCAGAGGCAGACAAAGCTCTGTGAGTTCCCATTAGGACTTGGAAATGGTGCTTTTTGCTCTTATGAGAGTGTCATTTTATGTACTATTTGTGGTTTATTTATCATGTGTGAGGGTTGGGGGAGACACATACTACACACATGTAGAGGTTGGCTCACAGAGATAGTCTGCCCCTGTCTCCAGAATGCTGAGATTAAAGGTGTGCACCACAGTGCCCAGCCCCTTGGAAATTTATTTTTATTTTTTTATGAGTCAAGGTCTCATATATTTTATGAGGCTGGCCTCAAGCTCACTGTGTAGTTAAAGATGATCTTGAATTCTTTTAAATTTTTTATTTGTTTTTATTGTATGTGTATAGGTGCATGTTTTAGCTGTATTTACATGTATTTAAGGTACCACAAGCATGCCTAGGGGCGTTTATCCACTGAAACTGGATTATAGATAGTTGTGAGCCACAATATGGATTCTGGGAACTAAACCTTTGTCCTGTGCAAGAGCAGCAAGTGCTCTCAATCCCTGAGCCATCTCCCTGGCCCCACCTCTTTTGGTTTTATTTTTTTTAAGATTTATTTATTTTATGTATACAAGTGCTCTATCTACAAACATGTATGCCTCCACACCAGAAGAGGGCATCCAGTCTCACTACAGATGGTTGTGAGGCACATGTGGAGCAGCCAGTGCTCTTAACCTCTCCAGCCCTTGCCCCCACCTCTTAAGAGCTAGGATAACCGGCAGGTGCCATTATAAGACTATGCAGCACTAGACATGGAACCCAGGACCTCATGAATGCATGCCAGGCAAACATTTTACACACGGAACCACATCCCAAGCCCCTCCACATGCCTTAAAGTCAGTCTTTAAGAGCCATTCCTTCATAGAGGAACTCAAAGTTTTATTTTTTACTAGGCTCTTCTGCAAGCCATTACTGCAAATTTGGTGGCTCAAAAATAACCTGACAATTAGTATCTTACAGTTCTCGGGGCCAGAAGTCCAAAAGCTGCGTTTCTTCAGGGCACTGAAGGGAAGAAGTGCGTGGCTGCCTTGCCAGTTTCTCTGCAGGTCGCATTGTGCTCCCATGTCTCATGTCTGCACAGTGATTTGACTCTCCTCTCTCTCTCTCTCTCTCTCTCTCTCTCTCTCTCTCTCTCTCTCTCTCTCTCTCTCTTTCTCTCTCTCTCTCATTGTTGTTTTCAAGACAGCGTTTCTCTGTAGCTTTGCATGATTTGATTCTGTTGCCTCCTTATAGGGATGCTTACAATGACATTGGGCCTCCCAAATGATCCAGGGTGATCTTCCCATCTTAAGATCTTTCTTCACACCTGCTGAGTGACAAGCTCAGATTGTAGCAGCTAGGAAGCGACCATCTTTGGAGGCTAGTATTCGCCTAACCACGCTTGGAAATCCAGAAACTGAAGCTGGGGAAGTAACTCAGTCGGCAGAGCGCTTGCCTAGTACGCACAAGCCTGGGTTCAATTGCCAGCATTTCATAAAACCAACACGCAATCCCAACATTTGGGAAGGCGCAGGCAGGAACATCGGAAGGTTCATGTCCAGCCTCAACCACACAGTGAGTAAGAGGCCAGCCTGGGCTGTATGAGACCATGTCTCGAAAACCCAAAATAAATAAATACAAATTAGATCGATAAATAAGTACTAGAAGAGTTACGGCGACAAAGCAGAGACCGTGGCCTAGAAGGTACCACCAATCTTCTGATCCTAGGGGCCGCTGCAGCACGACCGAGACTGGAAAACCATGAACTCATAAAATCAGACTCCCGGCCTTCCGGAGCCAAAGGATATTTTAAAGGTTATGTAGTCTAACTTCCTCAGCTTAAAGAGAGGGAGCTAAGGCCCGGCAGGCTCACGACGCGGCCTTTAGTTATTCTGCATTTGGCCTAAATCTGAGAGACGTCTCTTCCTCTCTCCCCAAGGAGCCAGCCGCAGCCGTCACCCTTATCAAAGGCAGCGCGGCCCGGGAGCGCGGCTGGGAGGGTTTTGTATCTTAGCAGCAGGAGGCAGCAATGATCTCAGAGCCAAGTTCTATCTGTGCCACTGCTTAAAAAACCATTCCACAGAACTTCTAATAGGGTTTCTTTCTAAGTGCGCCATTCTGAAGTTTGAAACCAGTGACACCGGCTGCTCAGCCTTTGAGACTCAACTTTGGTGAGAAAATCCTACATCCGGCCAGACAGCAAAAGGAAGGAAAGAAAGGATTGCGATAAAGAGCCTTTGGGGTTCCTAAATAAAGAATAAAGGGCTTCATTTTCCTAATGGGTCTGCCCTTTCCCACTGGAAAGTTATTTAAATGTTACAGCAAACAGTGAGGTGGATAAGGTATTTTTTCAGTCGACATGTCCTAGAAGGACGCGTCCTTATGGAGCTGATACAAAAGCTAGAAATCCTGAGACAATTAGCAGTGGACTTTGATTGAGTTTTCACGATAATTGTGAGGCCTCGTGGTGAAAACAGAACTCACTTCCACCTAGCACATCTGTGTTTGTGGAATGCAGCGCTAAGATTTCACCAGTCTGGGGCCAGGGTGTAGCTCAGTGGTAGAATGCTTGCTGGCATGGATGAGGCCCTAAATTCTACTCCCGAGCCTATTATTTAAAAAGGCGTTTAGATCACGTACCTCGTTTGTTCGTGTGTGTGTGTGTGTGTGTGTGTGTGTGTGTGTGTAACTGGAGCTTTTACGTGATTTTAGGAGACACAAGAAATGAAAACTCAGAGACGTCCAGTGTGCGTTTTTATTCTGGGATCAAGGACAAAGGTCTGCCTGCTCAGACTCTTAGTACAAAATATCGACGAGTAAATTAGAGGCACGATGAGTGTTCCAGATATTTCTTTTGCCTCAAGCTCCAACATGACCGAAAGGGGCACAGGCTGGGGTCGCAACGGAGCCAGGAAAGTGGAGTGGACCTTATTGGATGCAGGCAGGAGAGGCCTGGAGTGGGTGTGGGGGCCTCACAAGTCTGCCCTGTTGGTATTACATACAATACTTCTGTTCTGCAGAACGAGAAATCCGAAATCCGGGGCGTCTAGGTGAGGGTTCAGAGCAAAGGAGGAGCAGGGAAGGGGCGTGGCCAGCGGCGGAGGGGCGCGGCGTTGGGAAGATTGGCGGCGCGGCGGGGCTTGGCTGCAGAGGCTGGGCGGGGCTAAAACTGGTGGGTGGGTCCGCGTCCCGCTGGGGCGGGGCGGGGCGGGGCGGGGCGGGGCGATACGTCGGGAAGATGGCGTTGTGTGTGCTGCGGAAAACGGTCCGCGGAGCGGCGGCGCTGCCCAGGCTGTGAGTTCAGGTCCCCAGTCCCCGCCACGCGGCGAAGGCGGCGGCCAGAGCGCTGTGTTGAGCCTGCACGAGCACTCTAGCCCGCAGCCTCTGTGCCTTCCGCGCTTGACCTCTGCCAAGGTCGCTGCGGCTGCTGCCGCCCAGAGGGCGGGTTTTGCAGGGACCCGGTCGGTGGGTACAAGTGTTGCCGGATTGGCAGGGCTGTCAGACGCGCCAAGCTTTCTAGGGAGGCTCTGAAGTAGCTGAGACGCTGGCCTCCTGAGCGACAACACACCTGTTTTCTATGTGAAGCACAGAGGTTCCCTAATGTTCGGTATCTGTACCCCCTTACCCATCTAAAGACGATTGAGGGTCCCAAAGAGCTTCTGCCAAAATTTGTTCATAAAAAACACTGACCTTTTTGGGTTTTTTTTTTAGATGGAAAAAGCATAATTGTTTTATATGTCTTGAGATTTTCTTTGGTTAAATATGAGAGTGTTAAGTCACCGGCTTTGGAGTAAACATTTGAAAGGAATTCCAGAACTTGGGAAGAAGAGGCAGGAGGACACAGGTTCGAGGCTACACGTGTCTCCATAGCAAGTTTGAGGCCAGCCTGGTCTACATAGCAATACTAGCTGGTAAAAAAGATCAGTAGGCCGTCACAAGTCAGGCACTTCCACTTTGAGAACTGCTGATGTGACCCTGGTGTGCCCATCTGCTAATCACAATTCTCCTGTGGTCCCCCTTACCACCATCTGAAGAAGTAGGGTGTCCTGTTTACGATGAGGAACAGGATCAGAGAGCCCAAATGACTGTCTCAAAGTCCCACAGAGTTACAGAGCCAAGGTTCATGATCTAGCGATTTTTCCATCTTTTTCTTGTGCTTCAAGATTCACACCTGATCCATGGTAGGACCCACATGGCCTTAGGCAACCCACTGTCTCCATTACCTGTGGTTTGCACCCTGGCTCAAGAAATCACTCTTGGAACCCGAATGGCAGATAGAGGAGTGGTCCCAGGCCTGCCCAGAGGTTCCTTTTCTGAGCTGAGACGGGCCAGGCTCTGTTGTTTGCTCAGCACTGACCCCCTGTGGTCACCACTTCTAGTAATGTTTTTTTTTCTTCCTCTCCACACCACAGCTTTGCGTCTCTGGGTTCCGGGCTCTTTGAGCCCAGTTGTGTTAAATAGTGCGGGTCTTAGTGAACACACGGGAGTGAGTGAGCACTATCTGCCATACCTTATTTCTGTCTGTTGGACTGAGCTTCGGCTTGGAGCAGTGAGCCCCTTCTGGTGCTTCTGAACCATTGCTGGGCAGGCAGGGGCCATTCTAGACCTCCAGTCTTGATCCCTGTTCCCGACGCTCCAGCATTTGCCCTGTTGAGTCCTAGACTGTCCTGTTATCCATGCTGTTGACTGGCCATGCTGGATACATATCAATTACCCTGCCTTCAAGGGAGGGAGCAGAATTCACTTGACAGAGCCGGGAAACATAGAAGGAATGGGAACACACACACTCGTACCATACACACACATCATACCACACACACACATCGTACCATACACACATCGTACCATACACACACATCGTACCCTACACACATCGTACCATACACACATCGTACCACACACACACATCGTACCATACACACACATCGTACCATACACACACATCGTACCATACACACACATTGTACCATACACACATTGTACCATACACACACATCGTACCCCACACACACATCGTACCATACACACACATCGTACCCCACACACACATCGTACCATACACACACATCGTACCCTACACACA